TTTCTCTTTCAAAATAGTTTCTACGATACCTAGAAAAAGCCCACTAAAGGTTTTTGCTGCAGTTAAAAATCTGCAGTCTGAAATAGTGTCTCCTTCCCAACGTAAAAGAAAGTGAAATCCCCTTGGTGTGGTGAACTCTGCTGCTTACTCTGGGGAGAAAACTGGGACAATAGCAAGGAAGTAATTTTGGAAGGAATTTTTACAGGCAGTCCCTCTCCAAAGCATTTCAATTCTGGCTACTCACACCCGGCACTTGCCGCAGTCCTGATCTGTAGTGAAGGTCATAACAGTGCCAGTATGGACATTGGTTATATTAACTATTTACACCAAGACACCGGAGGTGCTCGTGTGCTGGAATCCTGCTGACTCAGGACATACTGTCCCTGGAAATCAACTTTCCACAGCTTGAACTATAGTGCAGCCATCTTGGGCTACACTTTTCCCTATAGTCTTTTTCTCAGAGGCCACACATTCAATAAAATTTCCAAGTTCACCTCCTCTATCTGTCATTTCCATCTTTTACATTTTCATCATTTTTATCTTAGTCAAGAACCTCATAGGTACATAAGGAAGCAGTAAACTTCTTAATTGATTTTCAGTTCTTTCCTGCTCCAAAATTTTTACCATTCTAAATGTAATCAGAGAATGGTTGTAAGTTTTCAATCTATACAGGTCCTTGGATATAGCATTTCCTACACACCATAGTGTTATATTCCTATGTCCTCCTAATAAATATTAGAACTTTTGCTGTCTGTCCCTGGAAATATCCTTAGTTTTTTATTCTTTGAATGTTTAATTTGTATTCTTTCTCTATTCCAGAAGCATACTCTTGCATGTGCATGTGTGCAGTATGAACCATTTTGATGAAGATTTAAGAGAAGACATTATTGAACTCAGAAATGAAAACACAGAAGTCAGGAAATGAAGCAGAGTTTAAACACCAAACATATTTTAGTACATGCTTTGGTTGGTATGGGAGTTGGTGGGAGGCATGACATATGGTATTTGAGAACAGAGAGCAAAGGGAAGTATGTTTAGAATCCCTTAGATGCAATGAATTCAATTACATTTGTATGAAGTAAAGTGAAAGATTAGATTACTTAGATTAACTTGCTATGCTCTACATAAAACAATGAAATAGCAATGTATGTTGTTGCCAGAATTTTAGGGGAAAATGCTGGCTTTGGGTGTCCCAACTGTCCAGGCCTGGCCATCTGTCCCATAGTGTCCATCACGGAGAAGAGCAGAGGGGCAGAGCAAGAAAAGAGTTCAATCAGCACGGCCAGACTGGGGATCACAGATAGAGTCTCAAGCTCTGTCCTCAAGGGGTTGGCAGAGCTTCAGGGCTTTGTAGAAAAGGGGAGGAAAGGAAGGGTCAGGGTTCTGCAGAGCTGGGTGTCCATGTAGGTGGAAGGGAAGAGAACCCTGATCAGTGTGTCTGGTTGATGCAGAACCATCAACATCTGCAATTTAGTCCCCAGGGGAAAGCTTTGGATCTCATCATGGGGTAATTGAACCCCCTTGGAGATGACCTCATCATGTGGTAATCTGTGAGACTCTGCTTTTCCTGGAATCAGAGGTGGCTATGGATTTAGAACAATGACTTTAGACCTCTAGGTGTTGTACTAGAAGATCTACAGCTGGTGACTGGAAGTCCTCTCAAATTCTGAAAATTGCTTTTGTTACTCTTATCTTGTGTCCTCAGTCTGAAAGGAGGATGAGATAGCTAGATAAATTTAAGACTAACAAACCTTGTAAGATAGATACTCCCTGAGTTCTTAGCATGCCTATGTACAAAGCTGACCTGGTGTCCATCCAAAAATTTTAAGGTAATAAGGAGACATATAAGAACAAAATGAAGGCAGAGATGAGTTTTATCCTGTTAGTTACCCGACAAATGTCTTCAGACCCAGCTTCTAAGTTCTTGTTATGATATCAAGATAGTGACACTTCAAGATCAATAGTCAAAAATTGATACATCCAGAAAATATTTAAACACTATTCTGTGGCACAAATCTTAATGAAAATAGAGGTGTTCAGACTTTAGTTTTATGTGGAGTATGTTCTTAAATGATTCTTACTACACATTAAAGTTTCATTTTGTACTTATGTGTATCATATGCATAGATTTTGCTTTGGTAAAAAATTGAAAAGTTGGTGAAAGGCTACTGTTAGGGTAACATGAAAATAAAGTAGATTTTTCACACACTGAAAGAGGGAAGTAGTTATCCATGTGTCCACATAGTGTCCGTTCTTCAAACAAAATCCATTGTGACTTCTTCACCCTTGTTCTCCAGTCCCCACCACTTCTCACTGGCCTCCAGGTCCCCTTCAAGGCACTGGAATTCTGAATACACAGTTTTTAAACACACTGAGTAAATTAGGTAGGGCTTGCTCAGGTACAGAGTTAATATAAAATACATGTATAATTATGCACAGGTATTCATTAGGAAGCCTTATAACATCAGAGGTGGAAAAGTCACAATGACCATCCGGGAAATCAGAGGCAGAAGAATCCAATTGACCATATGCTTGCTGTAGAGCCGGAGGATAAAGTAGCAGTCACGGTCAGAAACCTGGAAGCTCACTGCAAATCATGGGTGCCCGTCTGGGTTGGAAGGCTGAAGAAACTTAAGACCAGGTTCCAAAGGCAATGACAAAGACTACAATGCTTCCAAATACGGGGAAAAACTTCCTTCTTCTTTCCCTGTTTACTCCATCCAGGATAGCAGCGTACTGGTTGATGGCCTCACATCCGGGCTGCGTTCTCCTCTCTCAGTTTGCAGCCCTACATGCCAATCACCCAGAACTGACTAACTGCCTGGTTCTTACGTGAGTCAACTTGATGTATCACAATCAGCCAGCACACTGGGCTTGTATTAGTCCAAAAGGCATTTGCTAAATCAGAATCCTGGGATATTTTTATTTTTAGCATCTCCCCTGGAGCAGGATACACTTCCTGGCTTGCAACTGTTCTCTGCTAATCTGAAGATTTCTCTAGTGTGAACCACACTGTTATCAAAACCACAAATCCCCCCCATAAGGACTGGTCCTCATGCATCATTAGTGTCTTTGCAACTAGGGTGAAAATGTTTTGCTGTCTTGTTTGTTCAGAGAAAGCTTGCTTGGGAAATGAGTAATATTTTTTTCATCTTCTGTGAAACAGAAGCCTCAGGACTGCTCATGTATACACGAAGGGCAGAGGCACTTTTACTTCCAGATGTGCTTTTCCTACAACAGATCTTCTTGAAAACTAACAGAAGTATGATTTATGCTGGTATATACTGAACTTATGTGCCCTGGAACAAAATACCTCTAGGTTTCTCCATCACCTCTCTCATTATTTTCCTTCCTCAGATTTTTGTACATAATTCTTAGAGATCCTGACTTTTCAGATTCTGAATGTCACTCCCAATTCTGACATGTGTAATATTCATAGGGTAAAAGTTAGTACCCACACTAACCAGCCCAGGTAGAAGAATGATTGAAGAAAGCACTGGGGAAAACTCTAACCAGTCTCTGTGCTTAGGCTTTCACACAAATCTTCCTTAGACTTTCCCCAAACTGAAAACACTAAGTTTCTCAGTTCATCAAATATAGACAAAGAATATCTTGGCTGATGAAAATAACTGAGGTGATTAACAACATAGAATTTTAATAATTCTTAATTTGTGTGTTTGTGTAATATTTGAAAATATTTCCTGTCAGTCAGTCAGAAATCTTCAAATTTTTAAAAGGTACTTAGAATTTTTCCACAGTAAATAGAATAAAGACATTATTCTCAAGAACTGGATCAGCACCAGATCACTTTTACTGTTCAAAGGGTACATCTAGGTTGCAGTTGATTCTTACATGCACTAAAATGAGAATTGCCTTCCAATTATTTTCTTAGATCCTGACCATAGCAGAAGGCATGTCAGGAAATTCTGAATGACCTCTCCTCTTAGTTACAATGTTTTTTTAATTCACTACACATTATGTTGACTTTTCAACATGCTAATCCAACAGAATATAACTGTACAGTCAATTAGTTGGTTCTCATAAGTTGCAATTAATTTCATGAAAAAATATCATTTTCAGTGCGAGTTCTAGAACTACATTTTAGCACCTTAAACTTTCAGTGATATAGGTTTTGAGCACCCTTACATTCAAAATATACATCAGTAAAATGATACATATAATGTTGGTCGAATTAACCAAGTTGCTTGCCAACTCAGACTATAAATCATTACTATCTCATACTAATTCTTGCAGTTTTAAAAGGCAAACCTTGCTGCTTCAATTTATGCACAAAGTTGTTTCCAGGTTGTATTTTATTGGTAGTATAATGTCCTTTTTCTTTCGTTGATTCAGAAAGTTCATCTTTGAATTCAAAAGGAATGTTAAATTCATCTTTGCACTTTCAGTTTCTCACACCACAGAATCTATTTGGTATGTTTATTCTACTCATTCCAGTATTTAGTGATGAACTTTTTAGTTAACCAATCAAAATCACTGCACACATATTTGATAAACTAAATTAACAGGACATTTGAAGAAGATGCATTGAAATTAATGAACTTTTAATTTATGACTCTTTGAGAGCATAGAGTGCTTCACACAGAATGAATTAAGGGACCAGGCTGTCCATGAGACTCGGAACAACTCTGGAGAGTAAAAGTGTATATCTCTAGTGCCATTGATAGAAAACCCACTGATAAACAGCTGCCAGGGTACTACAATGCTACTATTGCAGTTCTATTACAATGCATGTTATTAACATATTTCATGCTTAGCAAAGCTACTGCATCAGCATGTAGCTACCCACATAGAATAATTTCAATAGATTTTTGGAAACAGAGTGCTCATAATGGTGCATATTAGATGAGTACAGTCCTTCATAAATTGATAATAAACACCTGAAACATGATATATTGTACAAGAACAAATGACATGAGATTTAAGACATTAATGGGCTATAAGATAAATTTTAATTAACCTATTCTAGATATTAAATAATTTCATGTGATGTCTGTAAACTGTCTCTTGGAGCTAAAAATGCCCCTCACTAGCCTGTCTACTCCCCCCTTCACACCCTTATTCCTCAGGGTGTAGATGAAGGGGTTGAGGGTAGGAGTCACCACTCCATAGAAGAGAGCCATGAACTTAGGCTGGTCTCTGGAGATGGAGGCTGGGGGCTGAAGGTACATGCTGATGGCCGGACCATAAAATAGGAAAACCACAAGGAGGTGAGAGGAACATGTCCCCAAGGCCTTTCTTCTTCCTTCAGAAGATTTCACCTTAAATATAGCATGCCCGATACTGACATAGGAAGCAAGAATTAAACACAGGGGCACAGCTAACATAAAGATGCATACAACAGACAATGCAAGCTCATTCACCACCTTTTCACCACAGGCGGTCTTGATCAGAACCGGAATCTCACACACCAAGTGATCCAGTTTATTGACACCACACAGTGGCAACTGTAGTGTAACAGTGGCCTCTGAGACAGCATAGGTAATTCCAGTCAGCCACACAGTGGATGCTAGGAGGAGGCAGAGGCGCTGATTCATGATGAGGGTGTAGTGCAGAGGCCTGCAGATGGCCACATAGCGGTCAAAGGACATAATGGCCAGGAGCAGACACTCTGTGCCCCCCATTAAATGAAAGACATAAAGCTGAACTGCACACCCCAGATAGCTGATGGTCCTCTTGGAGCTCCCCAGGTTAAAGAGCATCTGAGGAACAGTGCTTGTGGTGTAACACATGTCCAGGAAGGAGAGGTTACTGAGGAAGAAGTACATGGGGCTGTGGAGACGGGGGTCTATCTTGGATACCAGGATGATGGTGATGTTTCCCATCATGGCCATGGGGTAGGTTATCAGGAGAGTGATGAAGAGAGGCAGCTCCAGCCAAGGTCGGTCAGCGAAGCCCAGTAGAATGAACTCCGTGGGGTGGCTTTCGTTCATTACTGCCACTGTCTTCAACTGCTTCATCTATGGTAGAGAAGTACCAAGAAAGCTGCCATTATGGAGAATGAGAAAACATGGTCATGTGTTGATATGTGTGCAAAGAACACCATAGAACACAGGTTGTAATAATTAAAGGATTGGCTTCAGGTGGTCTAATTTCCCTTCATGACACAACCATACTGAAATTACATTTCCTCTCCTGTGAATATAAGATAACATTCCACTGACAACATTCCAAGGTACCTTGTATTCAATGAGTGGTTTCGGTACTTGATTACAATTGTATGGCAACAAAGCATGGTTTCATGTTCTCTATTTCATTTAATTTTCAAAGCCACTCTGTCAAGGTCCGCATAAAGCTATTCAGATGAGATGTGAATAGTCTCTCTTAATTTTACATTATCCTAGGTCAGACCTTTATCCTAATTAATACAATATTTATATAATCATAAAATACTTAATAAGCCTGGGTGCTAAACAGTCCAATCAGCTATTTTTCATCTATTAAATCGTTTAATATCCATCCACAAACATTATGACACAGGATATTTTAGATCTGTATTTTAGGGTGGTGTTATTTATTTCCACAATCAGCTAATAGGTAATATAATCTAAAGATCAAAAAGCTATCAGTGCCATTAATGAGGTAAGGAGACGTTGGACTATGAATTCAAAGTTGCAAGACTGTAAAGAAAATGTCTTCACTCTAAGGACCTTACCTGAATGAATGTGGCCCCTAGAAACTTTTTGAATTGGACATTATGCAAGATGTTACATGAGTACAGTGAATTTAGGACTGTAGCATGACCTAAATTATTTTTAGCTGAAATTCTGTGCTGTAGATGAGATGTGAAATCAAACCACAATATTCATTAATGTGATTATAAAGTAAGTCACTTACTCCCTATTCACTTATAGATAAAGGTGGGTTTATTTACCTACTAAGTACTGGCCTTGGCCCAAAACAGAACAAAAGTGCTGAAAAGAGTTACAGTAACTTGAAAAAAATATATAATAGAAGTATCCAATATCTTAATATATTATTCTCCCCAAAAGCTGGCTGCTTCCAAACTTGATTTAATATTTTGCATGTTTTCTCTCCATTGCTTAGTAAATATATTTGCTTCTCCTTTCTGTAGTTGATGTCTGACAGCTGATTTTTGCTGTTTTGTTAACTGACATTTCACCTTCTGTTTTATCAATTCTTGAGGAATTGTTGAACAGCTTACAAAACTGCCTGCAGAAGTAACAGTCAGAGTTCTTGTTCTATATTGATCAGTATTTCCCCCATTTTCTTCATCTCTGAAAGGCCTGAACTCTGTTTAATGATGACAGGTTAATGAGACAAGGGCAGTCATCTTCATCCTCCTCAGAGGCAGGTTTCCTCCCTGACCTGTCTGGCCTTCTTGCGTGGTGTCATTTTCATTTCTGTTCTCCTCAGAAAACTCAGCTGTACAACTGCTTTCAATAACCTGCCCTTTTATTTCTTCTAAAGGTTGACTGAATTCAGTCATTTCAAAATTTTGTGTGTGGGCACTCTCTTCTGATAAGCTGTCTTCTTTTACCTGTTCACAGTCTGAGGTGGAGTAGCAGCCTCTTGATTCATCTACAGCATGCTGCTCACTTTCATCTTCTGACCCACAAACTTTTGCTTTTTCTGACACTTCATCATCAGAAAAGGAGAAATCGGATCCCTCCTCTGTTTCAGTGTTTTTATCATCTGGACCTACTGGATGTAAAAGTTCATAATCTGCCTGCATTTCCTTTGTATAACCACTGGCAGAAATCTCAACATCAAGAGACTCCTCCCTCCTAGTATCACTAAAGGCTGGATAAAGCTCACTTTCATAGCCAAAATGTCTCATGAAGAAATCTCTTATGCATTTAACATCTCTGTCATTTAACATTCAGCATTGGGATGAGAAGTTGAAGCCATCTGTGGAAAATCAGTCATGGTAATATGGTCATTTTTATCTGGTATGAGATTGAATTCATTGAAATCTCCATGAATCAGCCTGTGATTTGCAAGTTTGACAATGAATTCCATCGCTTCATCATATACTGATGCAGGATCTTCCATGTGGTGTATTTGACATAGGGGATAACCAGTTATGAGCTCCATGACCACAGTATGGTGATTATAATCAACTGGCTTTGGAACTGGAAATTTTCTATCATGTCATGCCTTCATATAAGCAAATTCCTTCATGGCAGAGAGACGAGACAAATAAAGCCAAGAAACATTATGCCTGTGCTTATGGTAATCACGCTTGTTTTTCAGATTTTGGAAAGAGGTTCTTCCTAGTCTATGAAACTTTAATGCAAACTGCTGTCCTTCTTCATTTGCAACAATGTAAATATCTGATTCTTTGCCAACACGCATCTGGTTTCCAACAGACTCAACTGCCTGTCTAGAAGAAAGTGTTTTCAAAGCTAGGTGATCATAGCCTGCGTTTGTCAACCGATATCCCTGGACAGTTTTGGTACATTCCCAAGCTATGAGTTTATGTTTCACTATTTCTCTTAAAATTTTATTACAGCCACCATGTTTCAGGCTGGCAATAGAAGCAATCAAACTGCAGGGAACTATTTCATAGTTCTTCATACCCATTTAAACCGTGGTCAAAACCCTGAAGTCATCCCGGCTCATGTAACGCAGCTTGGCTACATTTACCTGCCCCAGGGTGGCTCCAGACCCACCTGGAAGGTGCACACATGACAGTTGGACCATGAAGAGCTGCTGGGACTCCTTATTCACTTAACACTTTTGTTTTTATGCTTTAAAATTCTCTACTGTGGATCATCCATCAAATTTGAAACAATAGTTTTAGATTTGATCCTTCATAATTTATTACACTATTAGTTTTATCTAACTGATAATAGTATTCACTTCAGTGTTTGGAGTGCCCACTTTAATGGATTGTCATCTTTTCATGTAATCTACATTATTTAGGGACATTATGTTTGTGAGTGGTGGTCCTCAGAGCCCTTTCATCTCTGCAGTATTGCCCTAGGGGTCAAGGGACTGACTCTTGCTGTGTATTTAAGCTTTATTAATCTATCCTTTGATGGATCATGTTCTGAACATTATTCTTATACTTTTGCATTACTTTTAGCTCTTGATTCCATGACTTTTGGATCTTCTACTTCCAGTGATTTTTCCTTCCCTATATCACTACACAGGGGCCTATTTATCTATGAATGTTTAAAGTCACTTAAACAGATTTCCAGACTGTTGACTACTTTTCTAACTTTATTCCAATGTAGCTTACATTTCATTTTCATTCCATATAGTATTTTATTTATATTTATAGTATTTTTAAACTTTATAGATAATAAAAGATGATGAGAAAAAAGAAAAGTAATTTTATCTGAGACCAGAGCATCTGGATGAAATGTGTGGTCAAGTAAATCCAACAAATTCTGACTATATGTTTAAAGATCCACACAAATACAGATTTTGTGCTACATTCAGATATTTAAAATTTGTAGAAAATAGAATCTACCAAGATTTCAATTCTTTTAAGGTTAGACTGAGAGATGGAGATGTTTATTGCAAAGACAAATCTAGCTGTTCCCAGAGCCACTGAACTAGGTGTTTTCAGGACTGAGAAAAGGCTTTCTGGAAATCCTCTCTGGCTTTCCTGTGCATATCAGGCCCTGTGACCCACACACACCCCAACCTTTCCTGAGAATGCATTGCATAACCTTTTAAAACAAGTGTCCTTTCACTCACCTTATTTTGATAAAAATCCTTTGATAAAGAGGAATTACAGAAGCATTTTTCTAACTTCCTGGGAAGGACCAAAAAGCTGTAGTATACAGATGAGTCCTTGAGAGGTAGCTTCAGGCTTTCTTTTTCAGCTGACACAGGTGTCAAGAGAAGGAAGGTTAGGAAGGCACTGTAAAATGCCAAGCAAGCTCTGAGGTCTGCAATTTGCATGCTGCCTCTGGGGCATCATCTTCACACAGGCTGTCATGTGTCCTTCCCTCAGATGAGTCACCAGGGAAGGCTCTTTGGGAACAAAATCCCCCTGCACATGCTTCTCATGCATAATTAGTTACCTCCGGAACTAACTGGGAAGCAAATCTCTCTGCTGTTAGATACACTTTGAAACAAACTAGTTCAGTTTTCCAGCACATTAGATACCAGCATAAAAAAGCATACAATCAAAAATGAGTGTTTTTGAATAAATGATTCTAGAAAATTTAAATGAAATTTTTTCATGAATATGTTCTTAGACTATCTCACATATGTGAATTATCTCTAGTCATAACAATGAAGGGGTACAAAAATAAATTAGAGAGAAAAAGATTAATATAAAAACATGACCATTCCAATAAAATGGAATCAAGTGATACTTAAAAGCATTCAAATATTCAATGTATCTATAAGAGAATGATGAAGTGATGTTTTCTTTCTCGACCTCCCATCACCCACATCTCATCCCTGACTAATGTGGGTCCTTGGGTTAATGGTAATGAAAATTGGAATTAGAGCACAAATTTACAGGAAAAAAATTTTAATTGGAAAGTGTATTAGTTATTTTTCTGTTACTGGGACAAAATACTTGATACTTGCAATGAAAAGAAGGAGAGGTTTATTTTAGCCCAGTTTCATGTTTGGCTGGTTCCAAGGGAGAAATGGCATAGTGGGAGGACATAGTGGAAGAAATCTGCTCACCCAGTGGTAGTCAGGAAGCAGAAAGAGAAAGACAGAGGGAGTTGGGGACAATCACACCCTTCCAGGTCACAACCCTGCGACCCACCAACAGCTCACCCAGCAATAAACTCATCAGTGGACTGATCCAGTGAAGACCAGAGTGCCCCATGATCCAATCCCCTTCCAAAATCCAACTCTGAACACAGGATAATACTGGAGGGATATTTTAGATCTAAACCATAACAAAAGTGAGAGAGAAGATACAAAAAGCCTCCAGTTTAAGTAGCTGAAGGGAGCACACTCTGATGCAGAGATTTGGCCTAACACACCCACAAATGCAGGAGCCCAACTTTTCAGGATT